TCTACCTGTGACTATAATTTCGCTACTTGCAAGCATTTGAGATGTTCCTCTGCTCGGAGGGCCTCTGCTTTCCCCCATCCCTTACCTCTCTCAGGCTGTTTTTTCTTGCAGTCCTATATCTCCCAGGCCATTTTGGGGAGTTACAATTCATTTTCACACCTGGTAGCTGAGGGAAAAGCAGTGGACACTGTCTCCTGTAAGATCCTCATAGAGAACCTGCTGATGTGTGGGATGGATAAGCAGTGAGTCGGACTGAAAACTCCATGAATGGCCAGGCCCAGAGTGTGGTGATTAGTGGAACAAAGTCTAGTTGGAGGCCAGTGATCAGCAGGGTACCCCAGGGATCAGTACTGGCTGCAGTCCTCTTAAAAACCTCCACTAATTATGTGGGTGATGGGACAGTGTATACATACCCTCAGCAAGTTTACAGATGACACAAAACTGGGAGAAATAGCTGATAAGAAAGAGATGTGCTGCCATCCCAAGGGACCTCAGCAGGCTGGAGAAACGAGCTGGTGGGAATATCATGAAGTTCCACAAGGCGAAGTGCAACACCCTGTATCTGGGGAGGAACAACCCCAGGCACCAGTACATGCTAGGGGTTGTCCAGCTGGAAAGCAGCTAGGTAGAAAAGGAACCTGGGTGTCCTCGTGAACACCAACTAGAACATGAGCCAAAAATGTACCCTTTTGGAAAGAAGGCTAATGGTATCCTGGTTGCCAGCAGGTTGACAGAGGTGATTCTCCCCTCTACTCAGCACTGGTGAGGCCACACCTGGAATACCGTGTCTGGTTTTTGGCTCCCCAATACATGAGAGACATGAATATACTAGAGAGAGTTCAGTAAAGGGCCACGAAGATGCTGAAGGGACTGGAGCATTTCTCTCATGAGGAAAGGCTGAGAGAGCTAGGACTGTTCAGCCTGGAGAACAGAAGGCCCAGAGGTGATCTCACCAATGTATGTAAATAGCTGAAGGGAGGGTGCAAAGAGATAGAATCAGCTTTCCCATGGTACCCAGTAACAGGATCAGAGACAATAGGAACACACTGAAACACAGTAGGTTCCATCTGAACATCACGAAACACTTTTTACTGTGAGGGTGACCAACCACTGGCACAGGTTACCCAAGAAGGCGGTGGAGTCTCCAACCCTGCCAGACTCAGATATCCTGTCTTTCCTTGAGTAAAACTTGAAAGAACACTTGTTCGTTTAGCTTATAAAGCTTCTAATTTGGAGACAGGAACAGCTTAACTAATTGGCAGCAGCAAGCGCCTGCTCTCAGACAAGCAAATGTCATTTCCTGCCCAACAAAGCAGAGGCAGAAAGGAGGCATCAGAATTTTTTACTACACAGGGAGCAGTTTACTACACAAAGAAACTGAAAGCAGCTTCATTACCCTGTTTCATAATGCAAGCAGCATCTGTTATAGGTAAAGTTGTTACGCTCCCCTCACTTCAGCAGCATCCATCGCCTATCTTGCTCGATGGCAAGCCAAAGATTTCCCATGATTCCCCACTCTGCCCTCAGATTAAAACATTTAGCCAACTTTTTCCTTAGGATTCACCTGAAACCTGTGCTTTTCCGACATATAGATCCAAGTCTGTTCAGCCCGTCTCTCACAAATCACCATGACCCAGGTCACAGGGTTTATTCACAGCTATCCAGTGAACATACTGGAGACCATATCATCAACAGATGGAGTAACCCTGCTTAAAGAGGACCTCTGGAACCCATGCAGACCCAGAACTAGGCAGAAAGTGAAGAGCTGTACTTAAGAAACATTAAGTAACGTTGCGTAGCAAACGATAGGACAAGAGGTAATGGCCTCAAATTGTGCTAAGGAAGGTTTAGACTAGATATTAAGAAGTATTACTTTCCAGAAGGGGTTGTTAGGGGTTGGAATGGGCTGCCCAGGAAGGTGGTGGAGTCCCCATCCCTGGAGGTGTTTAAGAGTAGGGCTGATGGATCTGGTGTAGTTGGGAACTGTCAGTGTGAGGTTAATGGTTGGTGGACTGGCTGATCTTCAAGTCTTTCCCAACCTAGGCAATTCTGTGATTTATAACTGACTTTTAGCATCACCTTTCCTATAAATCTCGGCAACATATTTTACTTCTCTTCTTACCTCAGACTGAAGCCTGGTGTTACCAAGGTGTCCTGAATCAGAGGCAGGCCTTCTTACCTTCTCATGGTTCAAAACCCTCAGCACCATGCAGGCACCCATGGAGATGGTCTGGTCTCCCAGACCTCATGAGAAGTTGGCTCCTTTATAAAGATGTTCAAAAAGGATCTTTTCCTTTTGAGATCAAGTCATCAGCTGGTCTCTATAAGTCTTACTAGGACTCAGAGGAGGGTGTGATTTTTCTTTGAAGATGGCAAGCTGGTAGTGGTATCAGAGCAGGACATATCTACAGGCTCACATGTTACTTGGACAAAAGTATTACCCTGATAACATTTTTTTTAAAAAGTTATGCAAGAGGTGGATGTAACTGTGCAGGAACCTAAGGTTGCTTATCTTTTGCTGAGAGGGCAGCAGCTCTTCCACATATTTTCTGCAAGCACATACAGACAGGCAGCTGATTCCACCCAAGCAAGGCTGATATTCTTTGATCCCCAATTCTGAAACAGGATGAACTGACCTATTGTCACTGTGTGGCACCCACCCCTACAAAGCATTCTGTGCTTCTCTATGTACAACAGAACTCACCAGCTCCAAGCAAAATAACTCAAGGCCCATGGGTGAACAATGCTTTCTTTAATATTGGTTAAAGCACTAGATGGTGCCTTGTTCAAGTCTTACGTACAGGTACATGGTGTAACACTTGGCTGATTCTCCAGAGAGGAATTGTATTCCTAGGTTACGTTTAAAAAATTAACATTGACATTAAGAAAAAACCTCAACGTATTTCTTAAAAAAAAAAATAAATCAAGATTATCATTGAACTACAGCTGCAGTCCAGGAAGTAAGTTTTACCACTGCCCTTTTATAAGTATTAGGACATTTTGATTTTTTTTGTCTTGAGTTCTTAATACAATAAATTCTGAAACTCTTAAAAAGGATAAGAAATGCCAGATTTTCTACTGTTTTTCAACTAGAGAATGTATTTCAATCTTCAAACATTCAGGATTCTGACAGTTTTATTTGCTACAACTACTTTTATTTTAAAGAACAATGTAAGATATTGTTCATATTGAGGATTAGCAGTTCTGTCTAATCTGAAGTGAAAACGAACCACAAGTTCGATATCTTCTCCTGTATCAAAACTACTAATTTGCAATGGAGCTTGTCAGAGATTACTACTGTCAGATGTTTCTGAATCACCAGTCTTTTCTGGAAGGAAAAACAATCACTTTTTGCTATCTAAAAAATCAATTTACTGCCATATATAAGGAAGTAGAAAACTTAGGAAATAAATTATTACAGCTAAAACCAGATCTTAACACTACAGTTGTAGCCAACCATGAATCCTGTATGAAAAGTTAAGCTGCAATTTTTCTGCATTTCCTTAGACCACTACCAACATAGACCAATCAAGTGCATCAGTCAGTGCTGGAGGAGGTCAGTCACCAGCTGACAATCAGTATTTTCATTAGTATCAAGGCCTCCAGCTGAAAAAAATGATGAGGTTTAAATCGGAACTAATTTATTAAGTCAAAGAGAAGTTACTACTGTTCGAAAGTTACTGTGGCAGAAAAGCACTCTACAAGCGATGAGAACAGGAAACAGTGCAGCAGATTCAAATACACATGTATGTATTTGTCTCATCATTAAAGATAAAACCTCATTTTTTGGTGCATCCTGGAAAAACTACGGTCAGACTTTACAACAGTGTGCATCAGTCAGGATCTCAAATGGAATCACCATCTGCTCCAAACTGAAGAGCCCGAAAACTGCATTTTATCATAGTGTGGGACCTAATCATCACCTTAATTAGGTCCACAGGTAAATGGAATTTTAAAAAACCCCTTACATACTTAAAGCTTAAGTATGCTACGCCCTTTTGGTACAACAGGAAGCTGGAAAAAAACCCAAACTGGAAAAAACCCAAAACAACTGCAGCATGTGTGGCATCAGTGCTGTCTATGTAAACTGGCTTTTTGCATGTATTAAAATATTGATCCTATGAGAGGCCTACTTCAGTTAAAGCTGGTCTGAAGACATTATGTACTTATTGGAAGAGGGCCCAGGTAGTAATTCCTTTTAGCCTGGAAGTAAAGTAAAACAAAGGAAAAAATCGAAACAAAATAAACCCCCCCAAACCCAATCAACCAAAAAAACAAAACAAAAAACCCCACAAAAACAACCAACCAACCAAAAACGCAACTGCCACATTAGGCAGATTTATAGCAGGAAGTGCTGGGAGATTGGGAAGAATAGTTTCTTTCTGAGGAAGCTGTGTGACACTACTTAATACGTATAATTGGAAAAAATTATATTGAAATCTGAACACAGCAAAACCCACTAGACTAGAAAAGTTTCTGCCTTCAAGCTGAAGACAGAGTAGCTTCATCTGCATTCCAGGAAAACTGTGCCTTTGTCTCAGCTGGAAGAGATAGCTTTCCTATGCCACATACATCATTCAGATAAAGAGAGCATTTTACTGTATTCTAGGAAGTCAGCAACCACTTGTAAGTGTATCTGGTTTGTTCAACTTTTATAAACCCTATAGGAAGAATACAGACTTCAGGAGACAGAAAAACCACTCTCACTGAAGTTGCTTCAGCTACTCTGGTAAAAATAAAAGTGTTGTGGTAAGGCATTAGCTGTTTTTTTTCCATCTGCTAAGCCACAGGAGTGCGGCGCTCAGATCACAGCTAACCCTTGCAGGAGGTTAACCTTCGAGGGAAAAGAGAGCACAAATACCAATATGGTGGATGCCATCTGTTCGATTTATTAACTGCGCAATTGTTTTGTATACCCCTTTCTGTACCCCACGAGATCTTTAGTTCCCTGTTTTTCCCGTACATCGCGAGATCTTCCGAGCGCCTCCCCCTACATAAAAGTATCTGAATTTACCTGTATTTAAGCATCAATCTACCTAACTTTAGACCAGGAAGTAAAAATGGCATTCTCTGAAACCTGAACTGAAAATTGAGAAAATATCACACACTTGCATTCAGACCTCGTTAAAGCACCAACATCAATAACCTGCAACTAACAGGCACGCTTCATAGCTCATTGTAAAATCAAGCTATGGCTTCCAGAGCTTGAGGAGACCATCTTCACTGTAAGTGGCAATCAGGTTCTGATGGGGGTGATGAGCAATGCCAATGACATCCTTTTCATGAACCTAGAGAATAAGCAAAAAAGATGCATCAGGAGATAAACAGATTCAAGCCAAATATTCCCTTCAAACAAGAACTAGAGGAAAGCTGGACTGAGGTGTAACATGCTTCAGGCATACAGCAAAAGCAGAATAACATACTCCCCAATATTAAAATTCCAGTTGCAAACAATTTTTGTAACACAACAGTTACTTTTTGTTGGACGATGGAAGGTTCAGGGAAGGTCTACATCCACTGAAATCCATGACATCTATGTGTTCCCCATTATATTTAGACATGCAAGCTGGTATTCCTCTTTAGTTTAATGCAAGGCAAATTTAAGCCTGACAGCTTTAAATCTGATAGTTTGGTCAGATTCTCCATTAGCCAGAGCCCAGGTCAGGACATGCTCTAGTTCAAATAAGGTTGATGGGTAAACATTTTCGTAACTTTTGTAATTAAAATGGTTCTAAAAAAGCCTAAAGACACTGTAAAGTCAACTGTTCTGGTATGCATTCGTCACCAATCATGGCTGACAGAGGTAAAAGATTCCTTGATACAAGGCTTCTCCTTATGGACTTCATGAGTAATGAACACTTAGATCATCTTAGTGTTTAGAATTCTGCAAAAGCTCAAAGATAAGAACTTACAGTCAGAGTTCTCTCCAGTTTGCCAGTCACTGTGCTAAAGCAATAGAGCACAAAATCTTCACCAACACAGTAGATCCATTCACCACGAGGTGATAGTGCAGAGCAGACAAAGTCACCACCTTCTCTCTTACCAGAGCTGAAACTCCTTACAATCTGTAAAGATAACCCCCAAAAAATAGTTGGTAGGATTAAACTGCAGCATATCATTACTATGTTCAGGGCAAAAATATTTAGGCAGTAACAGGTCTGTTCAGAACACAGGATGTCTCCATAGCTGCAACTACAATTCAAGCTGTTCTATAAACTGGGTACAGAATAGTTCTGCAATGCAAGCAAACTGGATAAATCGGGTTTAACCCAAGACTAGTTATCAATTAGGTTTCTGGCATTTTTAAAATGACCGAGACTTGAAAGATCACATACTTGTCCTTGCATATTCATAATGACAACTGTATTCGATCTGTTGCAGACAACGAAGTGTTCTGGGTTTTTAGGCAGCAGAATGACACTGTTCACAGTAATGTCTGTCCCAGCAGTACTGCCAAGAGACTTGAAGGTGTTTGAGCACTCTGTCGTCTTCACATTCCAAACCTAGTATGAAAAATAAATGTAAAATCAATCAGCTTTAAAAAAATTAAACAAAAATAAGATTATTCAGAATAAAGGATTCAGATTTTTTAAGGCTCCTGAAGGGAAATATGAATTTCAAAAATTTTAGTTTAAAGCAGATTTTTTTTTTAAAATAATCACATCTATTTTGAAGTGTGGACAGCAGGAACAATTTCACTACAACTGAACCAAAAGTGAATGGCCCTTATCAAAATTCAGGCTGGCTCCCTTTCATTAACTGTATTCCCTGAGGGTCGAGTCCAGACTTCCTTCCTGGTTTTAGCTGGTATCTGTGAATATATGCACAGCCTCTGTACATGCAATTTGTCTTACTCAAGACAGACACAAAAATCGCTGAAAAAGCAAATCCTGGTATCTGTGGGAGAGATGTCCCAGCTTACAGCTGCTTCAGCCTCAACACCAGGGTGTTCTAGCTGTTTAGAAACAGGAAATGGAACTGTCTGTTTAATAATTAAAATAAAATGTTAACCCATCATCTGTGGAATATTTTTGTTGTTTACATACTAGTACAATCAAAATTAAAGATACCACCTTTTTATGCTATTCCCATGATTGGGGCAGTCTAAGAAAGAGTGCAACTTTGAAGTAATGCCCCATTTAATATGAGCAAAATCCATCACACTCTCCTAGGCCACATCTACAAACCAGATGTTTACCCACTCCCCATGCACTGCACTGATGCCCTACTTAATGTAGTTGTTTCTGTATTAATTCACTTATTATTAGTCAGTAATGCCCTTACACAGCAATGCTTTACTACTCTTCACCACCACACACTGAGTAGTTCCACTCTTTGCTGAGACTAGAATACAAGCCTATCACTTCTACAGTTTCATTTATGCTAGATTACCTATCTTACATGGCAAGGGACCCCTAAGCACCAAAAAACCAAACAGGTGTCCAACACAGCAAGCAGGAAAATGCCTTTATTTCAGACAAGGGAATCCTCCACATTCTAGGGCAAGAGCTGTCACGATCAATTCTATTTATAGAATAAAGCAGTAAGAGGCAAGAAAGTATTGCACTTATGTCCTCCTTTCACAAATACAGCAGAAACAGGCTCTGAAACAGTTTGTAAGCACAGTATGAAACTTCACCAGTTCTAATTTACACCAATCTACAGCAAAGGTCACAAGCAGAAAGACTTATTATTGCAGATAACCCCAAGTCCTTCTGCAGTGACTGCAGCAGTTATAACAAACCAGCTATAACATGCAAACAGTTTGAATGTGTTACTTACAAAGCATAAATGCTATCTTACCTTCACTGTGCCATCAGAGGATGCACTGATAATATAGTGTCCATCCTGGGTAAAAGTAGCTTCATTGACGAAGGAAGAATGACCACGGAATTCCTTTAAAGTTTTCCCGGATTTTAAACCATGAATCCTGTCAAACAGAGGTCACAACTGAGTGCACAACTGAGGTAGTCTAAACCACCCTATGGCTTCACCATATTCTACATCTGAGATACCTTTGATAGGCAACAATAGAAAGTGCGAAAACTCCAAAAGTTGTAAGCTTTTATCACAAGCCCTTTTCAAAGACATTATACATTCCTGTTAAAAGCTTAGGGAAATACCAACAACCTTCATCCTCAAGGACCTGTATGCAGTATACACCGTATATATTAGAATACATGAAAGGGGAAATGAAGCAGCTGATAAAACAAAAATTATAGTTAAGTTTTGAAGTCTCTAGTCCAACATACTCAACTATAAGTGAGGTCAGCTTGACTAAGGCCTTGTCCTGTCAAGAAAAATTCTTCCTGAAACTTGCCAGAATTTTTATTTTTGCAAGCTGTTGCCATTGCCTCTTACTGTGCAACTCTATAAGAAGTTTGCTCAGTCATCTAAAAGGAAATTATACTGCTAATCTGCATCAGCCTTAAATTGTATACCTACTGGCTACAGAAATATCAAGCAAGAAATTTCAAGTAGAAGTCTGAAGCCTTGAGAATTAAACTCCTTATTCCATTTGAGGCCTGCTGCCCTCAATTCAACATCGAACTTTACATAATTTCAATTAAAATGTTTATGCTATAGTTCATATGTATCAGGATTTAAACAGATTCACATTTCCCATTAAGATGTTTTGTAATGCCTGTTCATTGTGCAGTTGCCTCTAGATGTACACATTTCTTCATTTTCATCTAAAGCAGTACCATTGGTACCACTGGGTTTTACAGTACAGGCAAAAACCCAAACCTATTAAACATATTACATAATCCCGTTCTATTAAACATAAAATATATATAGTCATCAAGCACCGGAACAATCTGATTCACAGTCTAAGTCCCACATTCTGCAACTCAATTTTGAAAAAGACAGATGAGGAATTTGGAGACCTTGAGAAACCAGATAGATCGACTGAGAGAAACCTCATGATACTGAGAACAAATTGTTGCAGAACCAGCTCTGGCATGAGACTCAACCAGGGGGCTGACTGGCTGCAGAGAAGGTCTGCAGCAAGGGACCTGGTGAGCCTTGCAGAAAACAAATTGAAAGACAGCAGCATGCTGTGGCACTGGGGAAACACAGCCACACCCCCCATGCAGTAGGAGAGCACAGCCTGTAGATCAAGGTTCACTCCTACTTGACAGAGGTGTAGCCACCTCTGGAGGAACGTGTCCAGTTTTGGGCCTGCACTCAGGGGCCACCAAGATGGCTGGAACGCTGGACCACATAATGCACGAGGAGAGGCTGAGAGGGCTGGGTGTGTTCAGCCCAGAGAAGTGAAGTTCAGTAGCATCCAATTGCTGTCTTCTTTGTAGACAAAAAAGTTAAACAAATTATTAAATCAGGATAATCCCAAAGGACACTAACAGTGAACTAGACAATACTGATCTAAGCTGCTTTCAACTGTAGCAAAGTGCCTGCATGGCAACAGAAAAGCTTTGCTGCAAACCCAATCTATGCAGCAGAGACCAAATTCCACTCAGTAACAAGACACAAAATAGGTGCAGGATCAGAACTGCTGCACCACAGAAACGTTAAGCAACACCTTCCAGATGCTAAGAGCTGCAGGAACAAGGGTTGGATGAGGTTGTTTCCCATCTGGTAACTTAGGTTAGAACAGAGTTTGAGTATTTTTTGAGATTATTTGCTAGTATTAAAAGTTACAATTGACTTTAATTCTTGCAATGATCCTTTAAATTAAAAAAAATTAAGAAATTATAAGTCATTATTAAACACCTGAAAAATTTTAACTATTTGGTTAATATCACTAACAAATTTTTACAGAATAAATGGAGTCAGGTTCTTCTCAGAGGTGCACTGCTAAAGGACAAGAGACAAAGGGCACAAGTGAAAAAGGAAAAAAAAACAAATCAAAACAAAACATCTTTAGGTCCAAACAGGATTTTCTCCGAGAAGGTTGTACAGCCCTAGGACAGACGCCAAGACCAGTAGGGTCTCCACTCATGGAGATTTTGACAACTCAGCTGGACAAGGCCTTGAGCAAATTGTCCTAACTGACAGGTTGGTTGTGCTTTGACAAGCATATTGGACTAGAGACCTCTAGAGGTACCTTCTAAATTAAACTATTTTATAATTTATGCCTACTCTGCCTTACACAGATTGAACAGACTTTTGAACCTTCTTCGAGCACAGAAGCAAGCCTAATCACCTTCATACCTGTCCCACAACAATCCACTGCTTATCATGTCACTGCTTATCAGACTACCTACACACCAGGTATGCTGCAGTAACTGTATGCATGTAAGTTAGCATGTGGAAAGCATCAGGTAATGCCAAGTATGTTCAGTTTAGCCCAGCATACTGGGTCTGGCTGAGCCGGAATTGGATTTCCCCTATAGCAGCCCTCACAGTGCTGTGTTTTTACGCTCAGAGCTAGCAGGGTGTTAAGAGCACCCTGGTGTTGTGGCTGCTGCTGAGCAGTGCTTACACAGCACCAAGGCTCTTTCCGACATTTTTCCTCCCCCAGTGGGACGGGGTGGGCAAGATCTTGGGAGGGGACACAACCAGGAGAGCTGACCCGAACCGACCAAGGGGATATTCCAGACCATGTGACGTCTGCTCAGTATAAAGCTGGGAGAAAGGAGGAAAGGGGTGTGTGTGGGGGGTGTCTGTGGGTGTGTGACCCTCGGTCCTCCCAGGCAACCACTCCGTGTATTGGAGCCCCGCTTCCTGAGAAGGCCCCACAGCGCCTCTTCATGGGAAGTAGAGAGTAAATCTGTTTGCTTTTTTTTGCTTCCGTGCACAGACCTTTGCTTCGCTTTGCTTATACTAAAACTGCTTTTGTTTTACCCACAAGGGTTGGTCTATCTTATTTTCTTTCCCCTATTTGACCTGTTGAGAAACGAGGGGAAAAGGTGGGGGGGAGTGATAAGAGCGACTTGGTGGATACCTGGCATCATTTAGCCAAAGTCAAACCATCATACCTAGCCACATTAAGAGGGATGTACTTCCTTAGATTCTCTGCAGATAGACCATATATCCAACTGCTGTAACTGCACTGACACACTATCAACTTGCTGAACTACACTAATCGGATTACGCACCAAAGTGACTCCGAAATGTGTATAAAGACTCAATTCCCAATCCTGGGTTCCCAGGAACTCAGCTCGTGGGCCTTGACATCATGAAATTTCACTGCCTAAAAAGAATGTCACAGACATTGAGAAATTGAACTATATAGATAGGTTTAAAAAAACCCCACAGCTCATATTCCAAGATAGTGCTGGTGCTACAGAAGCAAGGGATGGTTTGCATGAGAAATGAAAAGAATTCCCATGCCCAAAACCAGAACTGCACAGACAGCCTGGAAAAATAATTATCTTTTGAGAGTTAAGAGAAAAATGATCCTGTCTCTATGGCTCTTTTTCATCACTGAAAGTTTTTCCTCTTGCCAGCACAAATATATAAACCACATGGCCACAGAGTTTTTCTCTAACAGATTCCAATACAGCAGTACACGTCAGACAATCACAGAGTAACTTAGGCTGGAAGAGACCGCAGAAGACCTCTGTTCTACTGCTCTCCTCAAACAAACATCAACTTTCAAGTCACTCATGGTCTTTTTCAGTTTAGCTTTGAAACTCTTCAAGGGTTGAGATTCCCACCCAGCCTGACCTAACTCTCTCAGCATTTCACTTCCTGCAGGTTGTGTAGGAACTGTGCACCTGAGAAGAGTCTGGCATTGTCTTACCTACGACTACCTCTAGATAAGGCAACTAGGTCTCTTTTTTTTCTAGGTCAGTCAGGCCCAGCTCTCTCAGCTGTCCCTTATACACCATGTACAGCTGAAGAGATGGATCAAAACCCAGCACTCCAAAGCACTGGAAAGGCTGTACTGCCATTTCAAATACAAACTGCAACCTCTGCTGCTGAAGCTCTCAGGGTCTATCAGCCTGTCTTCCAGGGTTGGATCTCTAATATCCCATGTCAGACTGCTGGAAAGAACAGATGCCCAGAAAACACTTCATATGGGTCCTTCTTCCTCTTGTTCCCACTCTAAAGATAGTTCTCTGGATCCAAGAGAGAGAGGACCAGTGAATCTGGAGGCTGGGATTAGAGATAGATTCAGGGTGTGAGCTGGGACAAGAACCCTTAAAAGGGCTGGCAATGCCTGATTTAGGAAGCAGCAACATGATGCAAGTGATTGTCCCCAAATGTCTAAGGTTGCACTTTTATCTCCTCTAACCCATATACAGCTCACAGGGACACACAGACCCTTATTCAAGCCCTCAGGAGACATGACTATTGCCAACTGAGATTCTCAAGCACTTCAGGACTTTTGGAAATTTTGCTCTATTCAGCAAATATCAGAAAGCAGAGAAGATGCACCAAAATACTTCAGGCTACTCTCAGAGGATTTGTTTAGATCTTCTTTTAGAAAAAGAAGAGCCCATGACACTGCTTCACAAGAAAAATAAACGGGGTGGAACCAACTACTGTCACATCACCTCTTAAAATTAGTGAGTAAAATATTCTGGGGCCAGTCCTGGTTTGTATCTTTACTGATGATCTAGAAGAGGGGATCGAGTGCACCCTCAGTCAGTTTGCAGGTGACACCCAGTTGGGTGGGAGTGTTGATCTGCTCAAGGGTAGGGAGGCTCTGCAGAGACCTGGACAGGTTGGAGCCATGGGCTGAGGCCAACTGTGTGTGTCAATAAGGCCAAATGCCGGGGGCTGCCCTTGGGCCACAACAACCCCCAGCAGCGCTACAGGCTTGGGGAGGAGTGGCTGGAGAGCTGCCAGTCAGAGAGGGACCTGGGGGGGTTGATTGACAGCTGGCTGAACAGGAGCCAGGAGTGTGCCCAGGGGGCCAAGAAGGCCAATGGCATCCTGGCTTGTGTCAGCAATAGCGTGGCCAGCAGGGACAGGGAAGGAAACTTACCCCTGTACTCGACACTGGTGAGGCCGCACCTCGATGACTGGGTTCAGTTTTGGGCCCCCCACTACAAAAAGGACACTGAATGACTCGAGTGTGTCCAGAGAAGGGCAACAGAGCTGGTGCAGGGTCTGGAGCACAGGTCGTACGAGGGGCGGCTGAGGAGAGACCTTATCACCCTCTACAGCTCCCTGAAAGGAGGGTGCAGAGAGCTGGGGATGAGCCTCTTTAACCAAGTAGTAAGAGACAGAACAAGAGGCAATGGCCTCAAGTTGCACCAGGGAAGGTTTAGACTGGATATTAGGAAGCATTTCTTTACAGAACAGGTTGTTGGAATGGGCTGTCCAGGGAGGTGGTGGAGTCCCCATCCCTGGAGATGTTTAAGAGTCGGGTTGACACAGCTAAGGGATATCATGTAGTTGAGAACGGTCAGTGTTAGGTTAATGGTTGGACTAGATGATCTTCAAGGTCTTTTCTAACCTAGATGATTCTGTGATTAGGCTGTCTCAAAAAAATTTCATCATCCTGTTACCCTCAGGATCTTTTTTACCCTAAGCTTATTATAAGAGATGTTATTTTTGAAGGTTAAGACAACTGTTTCTTAAACTTAGAGTCTCCCAGAAAGAAAAGGGACAAGGTCAATATAAATGACATTATATCACAAGTAGTACTTGGCCCCTAGTCCTGGAATAATGCAAGTTAATCAAGGTGAAAGATGAAACTTTCAAACTATTCCTTTCCAACTCTTTGCAATCATTCTGTCCTATTAATATTAAAACTAAGTGCAAAAGGATCAAATCCTGGTCAAATGAATCTGTATTCCAAAGTTTAACTACTTAATGTGAAAATTTTGTTTTCTTTCCTCCTTGCACTGTAGCTCACACATTCTCAGTTTATTTACCTGATTGTCTGATCAAAAGAAGCACTAAGAATTTGGCTGCTGTCTTTAGAGAAACTGAGGCATGTAACACCTTTACTGTGTGCTCGTTCAAATCTTCTCAGACACTGACCACTCTGGATCTTCCACACCTGGAAAGGAAACAGAGGTGGTTACTTTGTTATGACATCACAGAAGCTTAAATATCAGAGGCAATACGTATCTGTTTCTGAGCCATGATAAACTTCAATACTTTTCTTATGGAACTGCAACATTACTGAAATTGCAAGTGAAACTTTCTAGTCACCATCTCTACTAACATACTATATAAAAAGATTTGTACCTTGATCTTTCCATCTTGTGCTCCAGTTGCTAGCATTTCTGTATCTCTGCTGAAGCACATGCACAGCACTGCATCATCCATCATCATAAAATTATCTTGTGCCTGGTATTTCAGATCCTAAATGAAAGCAGAAGATTCACCAGGCAAAACAATGAATTCATTGAAACATATTTTAAGGCAAAGTGCAAAAGTACTAGCAGTTTTAACTTCAGTTATATTTTATAACCTATCATCAAGCAGGCCTCACAGCCTTATAACAGGGAAGTGCTACTGTCACTATTTTAGAGGCAACAACAACGATTCAGAACAGTAAAATAATGTTATTGCAGATGGAAGTCTATGACAAACCAAACAATTAAACCCATGTAAAGATTCCAGACCAATATTTTAATCGCCCAAACAGACACCCTTTTCAGATTGACAGTCCCTGAGAAACAAAGTATAATCTCAAATAAAACAAAGTGCTTTGGCCAACAAACAATCCATGTGAAATAAGGTGCAATTTACCTTCCTGATCTTTCCAGTAGTGAAGTTCCATACTTCAATAAAACCATCAACAGAGCCAGTAACCAGATACTGTCCATCTGGAGAAAACCGAGCACACTCTACATGCGACTTCTGCCCAAACTGTTTTATAGGAAAATATAAATTAAGCATAATTATAAAAAAAAAAATATAAAGACAATTTAAAAGCAGCAGTTCATTAAAACATAACTGTAGTCTCATTTTGGTGACAAAAATACAGTATTTCTAGAGGTGTGCATTCTCAAATTTAACATTAATGTACAAAAACTCCAGTCAATACCTACATACTAGCACTTCAAAAACAACCAAACAAAAACCCCTGTCCTTTTGATCCGGTAATAGCTGTGAAACATACATCAAACACTGCATGCCTATAGCAGCAGTTGGGTTGGTTGTCTTCATCTTTTTTTGTTTTGCAGTGAATTGCCTATGTTAACAAACACCTTTCCAGAACACAATATATATCCCTAGCAGACTTCAAAATTTTCTGAAGTAGCGCAAGTTGCTTCACTTGGAATGGTGTTTCTCCAGTGAAATTTTCACAGAGACTGTTGGGGAAACTGCCTTATGGACACTGTAAGTGCTGCAGGACAACTGTGTCATTACAGCACAATTTTCTTTCTCTTTTTAAATCCATATGATAAAATCCTTAAAAAGGAAATACTGATCACATTAGTAGACTTGGTACACAGTATTTCATGATTAAAACTTAAGTGGTTCACAAAAGCTAATATGCACGCATAGAAGTTTAAGACACAAGTATTTCCTCGCACAAATAAAGAAAGGGACTAAGTAAACCACTTCTGATAACTGAGTGATTCTGAAGAAACACTCAGTTTCTTCACTTCTGAGAACTGAGTGATTCTAAAGAAACAATTAATACTTTTACAATATTAACAAATACTGTGAGCACCTTATGTTATTAAGGGACCTCATTTCCGACACTCACAAAAAGTCTCTCAATGAGATAAAGCATGGAGAAAAAGGATTTTTTTAAAAAAAAAAAAAAAAAAGAGGGAGAGGGAGAAAGGGAAATTATTTACAAAAAAAGAGAAGAGAATTCAGAATGTTTACTCTTATCTTCTAACATAAAGAACAGGAAGGAACCAGCAGCAGTATCACACACAAAAGGAAACACAAAATCACCTTAATATGTCTGCTCAGCTGTGTGGGAAACTTTTCTTCTTCTACATCTTTCACAGCTGCTTTGCCTCTGAACAAGTCAATTGTCATACCAGGAGGAAGCAGTCCCTGATGCTGCTGCCATTTCAGTGCCTTTTGAGAAGTTGAAAAGCATACTATTAGGTATCAGTTAATATATATCTTCCTCATCAAAGCTTGCCTCTAATTAACACAATACAGCAAATTTTCTGTACCCTTACAAATTGTACACCTGTACAATTTGCAACAAATGCAAACAATTACTTGAAACAATTCTACCACCTTGCTTACGTCCACAAACAGAACAGAACGCTTTCCCAAATATTTTTTGCAAGTGAGAATGACTCAGGCCCACCATTCTCATTTATTAAGAGGTGGTACTGCTTCTCACTGTCCTACTCTGTCAAGTGTTGCTGTTATTAGTGTTTAAATTAAATTGGTGTTCTTTTTCTTCCCCTAACAAATTTGTCTTTTGCTGGTGATCATAATGGGTGAGTCGTCCCTCCCTGTCCTTATATGAATTCCTTATCTCTAGCCTTTTGTTGTGTTTTCTCCTCCCCATCCCTGAGATGAGCAAGGGGCTTCATGGGGCTCAGTTGCTCTCTGGGCTCACACCATTACAAAGTGCAAAAAAAGAAACAGTGTGTGTTAGGGGAGATTATTTTCAAAGTACACACTCTGTGCTGAGCATTTATTCTACAGAATAAATCTACCATTGGAGTACTGACTCTTCATACAACCACTAAATTCTTGCCACATACAGGAAATACCATTTTTAACTATACCACATCTAAGTGTGCAATATTTAAGTCTTACTTTTATAGAGTTGGAGAATCAACTACATCACAGTCAGTTTTATGCAGCAAAGATCTACAGAAACTGACACAGTTGAAAAATTTTTCAAGAATTACCTGTCCCAACAACGCCATAAGACGAGATGGAGGTACCACGCTGACTTCTCCAGCTAAAGCTTGTGCAATGGCAGCTCTCCGCTTCTCTTTGCTACTTCCATCTGGGTATGCCTAGAGAGGTTATTTTTATGAAGTGATTCTTCTAAGCTATTTTTCATAAAACACATTAATTGCTCTGCATTGAAGCCCCTTCCAGACTAGTTTTCTATTAAGCCTTCAAAATACCCCTTGTTTTTATCACCAACCCTTAACACATTTAGGATATACCTGCAAAAAAATGTCAGACTGACATAGTTAGAAATAATACTCTATTATTACTGTTATTATACAATGACAATTTTATTTGAAAAATGTATTTTCTTCTGCATATGTAAGATAAAAAAGTACAGATGTCATTCTGTGGCAGGATACAGGTATAAATCCCCAAACTCCCACTTGCAGTATACTTTTAAAATCACTGCTCTTCTGTCTCATGATCAAGTGTTACACATAATTTCCCAAAACCTTCATATAATGTCCTGGTTCAGCTAGGATAGGGTTGTTTTCCCCAGCAGAGAGGGGGAAGGGATCTCCAGCTGGGTTATTCATAACATTAACATGCTGGAGCTGGGAAATTTTTTCCTTTGTGGCTGTGGTAGCAGGGAGTACAGGGCTGTCTGTAACCATTGAGGTATTTCTCTGTATATCTTTTCTCTTGTTCATTGTTATTACTGTTTACTGTTGTCATCATTGCTACCGTTGTTCAGATTGTTGTATTAAATTTCTTCTTATCTCAACCCACTTCTTGTGTCCGAGGGTGGAGGGGGACAACGGCAACATGGTCTCCAGGCCCAGCAGGGCTTAAACTAGCACAAATGTATAAAATGCTCAAACCGGGATGCTGCAAATTCTCACTCCCAGAACAGAAAAGATGTCATATGCCATTAGCAACTTTGACCTGGGCTAGGGGTCAAGCAAGACAGCATCCCGAGGTCTCCAAGAAGAGTGTAACATACCTCACGAGGATCAAAGTAAGACCTGGCCAGAAGGTTTTCGAGGTGGATGTACCGCTCTGGCTGAGTTTGTTTTAGCATGATCATGGGATCTGTTTGTCTCAGGAGAGACCTGGCAGCACCTAGTTCCCGGAGCTCAATCAACTCCAGCACAACCTGCATCAAGAAACAAACATATGCATCAGCAAATCTTAAGTGGAAGACACCAGAGAGGGGCTTCCGACCAAACCAGAGGAGGCCATACACAGCCCGTGCTCGCTGACCTGCTCGTAAAGATCAATGAGGGTCTTGTCGGGCAGCTTCAGCGACTGTATGGCTTGCAACACTGTGTCCCAGTGCCCGCTGTTGATGTCAGCCACAAAGCTCTCAATGCTGTCCACAGTGTTGAGGGACACAGTAGTTTCTTCCTGAAGGGTGGCAAGGGCTCGGTGGAGGCTATTCTCCTTCAGGTACTGCATGATCAGCCGGATCACGCTGTAAGGAAACCCCGCGCAGTCACAGCACCGACCTCACGGGCTACCTGTCCCCGCGCCCCCCCCCCAGCTGCCACAGCTCCCTCCCGCCCGGGTGCCCATCCGTGGCGGAGCGGGTGCCGCAACCGTGACCACTCTCACGTCCCCCGATCCCTGTCTCTTATACAC